AATAGCAAGAGGTGAGTGATTGAGAGGTGCACCGACATGAGAAAGCATTTTACACGAGGAAAGGAATATGATCAACACTGAAAGCTTGAATTGGATCCACGGAGAAGAAAAAGAGAACGAAGAATGATAAACTTGAAGCTTCCTTTAGTGTCTTCCTGAGAATCACCGGATAAGAGCATTGACGGAAAAGAATGGAGAGACTTCCCATCAATAAAAGGATACTTGATTAAGAAATCTGAGTCCTTGAAGAAAAGGGTGGGAGGGTGGGAAAGCAAAGGCAACTTGGGATGGATGAAACAAACACCGTTGAGAAAACTTAGAATTGATCTTGCGGATGTTGAAAATGATCGGATCCACTTGAAGAGAAGCACACCGGTTGGAAAAGAGTTGACATGACAACCTCAGTGATCAAGAAGGATTAGTATTCACATAGAAATATGAGAACACCGCTTGAAAGGTATGGAATCAACACTTGACTTTGAAGCAACTCGAATACCACAAATAAAACAATACAAAGGATTTGGCTTGCAGAATAAGCCGGAACAAACATATGATAGAGATTTCGTCCGAAGTTTTCGTGGTGGGGCCCACACGGGCTCGAGTGTACAGCACCATCATGTACAAGGCAGTGCACATGACATACGAAGTGTCCCCGAACCAGCATAGCCAAGGGTTCTTTAAGACACAACGAGACCACTGTAAAAACGACCGTGGAAAGGCGGACCACTAGACGTCAAACCCCAATCTCATATCATGCATCTGTCGAAAAGATATTCTAGGAGCTACTTGAATTCCCACCTATAAAACTCCCGAAACTTTCTGGTTATGCAATATGGTGTTGGGGATATAGGGGAAGCAATATATCTCACCCAAACTAACAATACCTACATCCAAGCTGTATCCATCCGTCAACACATAACCAAGAAAACTCCGGAAATCGTGTACCTCAACCTTTGAAAAGCATCCGTTATATGAGTTATGGCAATACTCCCGAGCTCGCTCCAGTACTGAGTTATCGGGGTTATCTCACCAACAACTGCATAAAAGAGATTTTCGATGTTGGCAAATCTCAGGTATTCCAGAACTGCAACGATAAAATTGTGACGACAACACCTCGGAGCTCAACTCCCTGGGTCAAAGCCACATAATAGACAGGAGGCATCAAGAACAATGTTCTCGTCACAAAACCATCGGAACGATTCCAAGATACCCGCGTGATCCTAAAAAAAATTTAGTGAAATTTGAGGAGAGGAAAGACAAAACATCTACGTCAGGAGACCTCACCAGAGCGACGAAGGGGGCTGAGGAGTAAAAAGAATCCTACTCTCCGATATATATAATCCTAAGACTCAAAATAGTTTTCTTCTAGACTCAACAACGACCAACAATCAAGGGGGCTCCTATGGTCGGTTGAGGCTCTGATTACCAACTTGTCACGCCCAATATGTGACCCAATCCAAAAGGAACTCGAAGGTCCCACCAAGGATAGACCCGCATATTGAAACGCTTTTGCAAGGTGGATATCATTACATCAACATTACATAATAGATGGGGATACATACATAAGGCATACAATACCACACGAATACAACATCACAATACATGAGAGCATCATCCGACTACGGATGAAACACAAACAGAAACTCAAACGACATCCACCCTGCTAGCCCAGGCTGCCGACCTGGAACCTATCCCCTGACCGAAGAAGCAGAAAAAGAACTCAAAGCAAGCAAGCATCGCTCTCGCGTCACGATCATCGCATGAACCTGTACCTGCAACTATTGTTGTAGTAATCTGTGAGCCACGAGGACTCAGCAATCCCATTACCATGGGTATCAAGACTAGCAAAGCTTAAAGGGAATGGAAGGGGTAACGTGGTGAGGCTGCAGCAGCGACTAAGCATATATGATGGCTGACATACGCAAATAAGAGCGAGAAGAGAGCAAGCGGAACGGTCGTGAAGCTAGCAATGATCAAGAAGTGATCCTGAACTCCTACTTACGTCAAACATAACCCAGAAACCGTGTTCACTTCCCGGACTCCGCCGAAAAGAGAACATCACGGCTACACACGTGGTTGATGCGTTTTAATTCGGATCTGGTGTCAAGTTATCTACAACCGGACATTAACAAATTCCCATCTGCCTATAACCGCAGGCACGGCTTTCGAAAGATTATACCCTGCAGGGGTGTCCCAACTTAGCCCATGACAAGCTCTCGCGATCAACGAAGGAATAGACCTTCTCCCAGGAAGACCCGATCAGACTCGGAATCCCGGTTTACAAGACATTTCGACAATGGTAAAACAAGACCAGCAAAGCCGCCCGATGCGCCGACAATCCTGATAGGAGCTGCGCATATTTCGTTCTCAGGGCAACACCGGATAGGTCAGCCTACGAGTAAAACTAGCCCTCGAGTTGCCCCGAGGTGGCCCTGCAGTCTGCCCGGTTCGGACCAACACTTAGACAAGCACTGGCCCGGGGGGGCTAAAATAAAGATGACCCTTGGGTTAATTACTCCCAAGGGAAATATAGGTGGTGGTGAGGCAAAAGGTAAAACCAAGGTTGGGCCTTGCTGGAGGAGTTTTATTCAAAGCGAACTGTCAAGGGGGTCCCATAAATCACCCGACCGCGTAAGGAACGCAAAATCCGGGAACATAACACCAGTATGACGGAAACTAGGGCGGCAAGAGTGGAACAAAACACCAGGCATAAGGCCGAGCCTTCCACCCTTTACCAAGTATATAGATGCATTAATAATATAAGAGATATTGTGATATCCCAACCAAAATCCTGTCCACCATGGAGCAATCTTCAACTTCACCTGCAACTAGCAACGCTATAAGAGGGGCTGAGCAAAGCGGTAACATAGCCAAACAACGGTTTGCATAGGAAAGGTGTCAAAGGTTAGCGGTTCATGGCAACATGGGATGGCTCGACAAACAGATGATGGGTAGCGCAGCAAAGCGATAGAACGAAGCAACTAGCATAGCAATGATAGTAGTGAGATCTAGGGTAGCGGTCATCTTGCCTGAAATCCCGCAAGGAAGAAGAACGAGTCCATGAAGAAGACGAACGGGACCAGTCGAACGAATCCTCACGAACGCAACGTTACCGGAACTAAGAAGCAACACCGGAAAGAAACAAACAACATGGTAAACCAACAAGCATAAGCATGGCATGATGCGCAAACAAGTATGATGCATGACCGCTTTAATGAGGCATGGCATGGCAATATGCACAAACAACACTACAAGTTAAGTGGAGCTCAATATGCAACGAGTTGCATATTGACAGAACACCACATCGATTATTTAGTTCTCTCTCGGTTTTGTACCCAACAATATTAAATGTTGTTAAACATGGCAAGAGGTGAGGCATAATAAAACTACCTATCTAAGCAAGTTTAAATAAGGCCGGAAACCACAAACAACAATTCCGGAAAATCCCCATATGCAAATTATGGATTCAGTATTGTTCTGCCCTAAACACAATTTTAATGTTGTTAAACAGCAAAATAAAGTGGACCATGTTAAACTAGGCATTTTCCACCCCATTTACATATAAAGTTTAATTAATTTGGAGCTACGTTATTTAGTTATGAATTAAAGCATTTTAACATGGCATAATGCAAAATAAACACAAATAGCATGTTAAACATTTTTAACATAGATGAAAGTGGCATATTATTAATCTACACAATTTTCTGAGCATTTACATATATAAATTATTTTAATCCGATGCACAGTTTGTCAGATATTAAATGCATGAATATCAGGGGGTTTTCTGTAAAACTGTTAATTCTACAGATAATGTTAAAATCGCTGGACAGGGAAAAAAATAGCAACGGGCCGAAACTGCTGGCCCAACAGTGCACAGGGGGGCGCTGGATCTGAAGCTCACCATGGGCTTCGGCCTAGCTGGAGGAGAGGCCGAGCGAGGCCGGTCCCTGGGCCAGGCCCAGTCGGTGGAGAGGAGGAGGCCCAAGCAGGGGGGGGGGGCGCGGCCCACGTGGCCGGGCAAGGCGCGGCTGGGCCCTGGCGCGCTGGGCGCTGCGGCTGGGCCTGGGCGCGTGCGAGTGTGTCCGGACTGTGCCATTTTTATGCCGCTTATAAAATAATATTTCGGAGGTGCCGCGGGCGCGTGCGAGTGTGTCCGGACTCGTAACGGACAACGAAGAAAACCGGCGGAACACGAACGGATGCAAGTTTTATGAAAACGATGCCGATGCAATGCGAATGATGACATGAGACGACATGCATAACAAGAACAAAATGCAAAACAAACGACAAAAACCCAACCACGAAGGAAATATCATATAGCATCTCCGGAAAAGGCAAGAGTCGGAGTTACGAATATGGAAAGTTGTATCCGGGGCGTTACACTACCCCGATGACAAGCCAAGCAATTATATCATATTTTTAACGCGCTTCAGCATTTTGAACTTCACACAATACATGAGTGTAAGCCATTGATATAACACTATGTGTGGAATAAAATACGGTAACAGAAATCAATAAGGAAAGTCAAAAAGGAAGAAAGTCTCGCATCAACTCGGTGGATCAACGGGCAATGAAGAGGCCCCTCAATCGATGTCAATGCAAGGAGTAGGGATTGCCATGCAACGGATGCACTAAGAGCTATAAGTGTATGAAAGCTCAACAGAAAATAAGTGGGTGTGCATCCAACTTGCTTGCTATGGAAGACCTCGGGCATTTGAGGAAGGCCATCATCTTAATGAAAATTTTCCACTAGCATATAAAGTGATAACTCGCATGCAAAACTATATCATGTACTACAAGCTTGACAAGCATTACAACCAGCCACTCATGCCCCAAGGCTATTAGGGTGCAACAGCCAACAATAATGCATCACCACATGTCAGGTTCAGAACAAGCATTATTGTTGTCATGTGGTGCTGGACACGGAAAAACACCCATAATCAGTGGAGCTTGATGGAATGGTAGATGGCAGCCTCCATACATGGTGAAGCTTGACGGAATCAGTGATGAATGCCTAGCCGATTCCTGATGTTGCCGGCGCTGTTGTTCCTTGCCTTGCCATTGGGTTGTAAGCTCCGGTTCCCTTGCTTCAGCAGGTCTTGCGGATCCACCATTTGTATTATTCGCTCCTGCTTCGCTGCATTTATGTCAAAAAAAAACCCGTCAGTATTCGTCACATGAACCAATCACACCGAGTGTTGCGATCAAAACTATGCACCACTGACTTTTGATATCTGTTGACAATTAACAAGTCTGTTTGATCCTAGAAACTCATCCAGATAAAAATATTGAAAATAGAAGAATCATACCATTGCTAAATTCTTGGTAACCTTCTTCAAGCTTTCGTTTTGTAGCTTCAATTTTGGCATTCTTTGCAAGCTCTAGCATCGCCTGGACTGGATTCTCATCATGTTGACCCAACAGTCGCTATAACCAGTGAAATGGTTTAGAAAAATAGCATACACATCACATATAAGCATCTAACTGTTCTTTTCCTCAAAAAAAAAAAGATCTAGCTGTTCAGCAATACCGTATGCTTACATTAGGCATTGTTGGTTTTGTTCTTCTTTGAGTTTGATTCAGTATGATGCCTTGCGGCGGCTTAGGCCTTAGTTCAGAACCTATCGGCTCAGAGTGCAACCAATGTGGTCTCCCTGGCCCAAATGCTGCATTTGAAGGCTTCTCTTGTGCCTCGGTGATGCATTGCTGCCCTGTTTGCCAGCCGCAAGATTCACGCAGCCGTGACTGTCTCACCGCAGACTGATCAAGCCTCCAATTCTGTACTGGATCATACTGTTGGGCCATAGGAGGCTGTTTCTTGACTGACTCATGGTTTGTGGGATATTGTTGTTCACCCTCCTTGGCATTGATTCTAACATCTGCAGAAAAAAGTTACAGGGCAGCGACCATGTTAACACAACGCATAACAAAACACAGTACGGAATCGCTGAAGTGCAATTACTCACTTCCATCATCATCCATTTCATCGAAGAACTTCGAAACCAAACCAAGTTTCCAAAACGAAGCAAAGATGGAGTTTGTCAGATCACATGTAGGACTGGCACCAATGCTAAACAGAGTAACAATCTCGTGGGTTTTCTTGAGAAAAAAAACGGATGTCTAAATGGTCAGTACCTCGGATAACTGTATGGAAGTACACGGCGTAGCGAAAAGAGCAGCTTCATCCATGGGAGGGGACGGAAGCCCACCTTCTTCCTGTTCAATGCAAGAAGCCTCCATTGATTGCGGCGTGCGATCTGCGGATAGTTTCAGCAAGATAATGTTAGGGCACCTTACCTACAGTATTGATCAATTTTGAATTTCTTAAGAGAGTGCATCCAGTTTGCATTCTCACCTACAATGGCACCTTCATCGCTGACCCACTCACTGACTATAGCCTGCCAACCTCTACAATGTGGCTCACCAAAGATGTTAATGCTAGAAAGTTAAGACAAATTAGACATGGTAAAATAACAAAAACTTACTTGATGAGGGATCGCACGAGTATCCGAATCTGCTTTGAGCCGTAATTCCGTAGGTGTTTCACTGCCTTTCCAATCTCAGTAACCTAAGAGCAGTTCAGTTGGTAGATATGAACAAAAGCAATCAAGGGAATTCGTCAAACACATGGAGCAACAGAGAAGTTTATCCCGGTTTACCTTGATGGCGTCCGCCGTGAATTTCAACTGCTGAAGCCTCCGGAGCAGGTCGAGCAGTTCCTCCTCCGACTGCACGAAAAGAAGACGCAAGCAATGGAATCAGTACTAGTAGTAAGCAGTTGGTGAGACCAATGGGAATGAAATTAGTCAGACGCGGTGGTAGTGGCAGGAAAGGTGGGAACCATTTGTTGGTTGCTGGCGAGAGCGGTCTTGACGCTGAAGACCTCTGCGACGATGGGGTCGTGGCGACTGGCCCGGTCGGGGAATGCGGGTGCCGCCGCCACCACGACAGCGTCCTCTGGCGGCGGGAGGACGTTGAGCACGGTGTAGAGGCGGTGCGCGATGGCGTCCCGGCGCGCGCGGAGGCCGTCGGGGTTGTCGGCGGCCGCGAGGCAGATGGCGGCGTCGATGGTGTCGAAGATGCTGGCGCGGGCGCCGCTGAAGAAGCCGCGCCAGTAGTCAAGCGATGGCGGCGGCGGGGCCATCGGAGGCCAAGGCCGGCGACGGAAGCGCCGATCAAAGCAAAACGAGTCGAAGGATCCCTGTCCCTTTTGCTTGAAGAAGATTTGATTCCAATCAAGGACACTAAAAACTCCGGGGAACTTGTTTTCCTGATTTTGCAGTTTCCAAGCCGATGGACAAGTCCATAAATTACTACCAATACTACTAGTAGTATAGACTAGGTCGCGGGGGCGCGGCGGCGTCGTGAAACCTGTGTACCTGGCTGCGTTTTCTTGCTTAGAGCAACTCTAGCCGATCCGATCCTGTATCCCGCCGGCCCGCAAAACACGTTTACGGCTCAGGCTGGCACAGATGCAGACCCCTCAAACTGATTCGTAAAAAAATATATTTGCGGAATATACTTTTTTACGGGTCGGCTTTGCGGGGTCTGCTCTTTGCGCCGCTGCATCCCGCATATCATCGGCCCGTAAATATCAAATTCAACAGAATTCAATAATCAAAAACAAACTGAATTATTCAAATCAAACATAATACAATAATCATCTGCATTACAAATAATTATTCAAATCACCGTAGCAAATAGGGATGGCAATGGATAGGGTATGGGCGGGTACAACATCCTTCTGCCCAAACCCATACCCATAGAAACTTTTTATACCCATCCATTTCAACACCCATGGGCATAAATTGGCACCCATACCCATACCCATTGGGTACGTTGTACGCAATGGGTGTCCAATGGGTATAATATATAACATTTAAAAATTTAAAAGGTAGAGAAATGAGTTTAAATTTGAAGTGATCATGGGCGATTAGTATAGCATTGACATAGGCTGCTACGGTGGGTGGCCTCTTGGACGCTGATGAAGTCATGTACCTAGGGTAGGGTCATAGGCTCGTCCAGAGGACCCTTCCCAAGGACATCTTCATAAGAAACAACGTTCCAGTCGACCAAGAGGGATTCCACTCGACAGACTCGAAGGCATTCGACCACGAAGACTCACTCGACCACCAGGAGATTAAGAGTCACTCTGTATCCAAACGGTCTGTAATTAAGTAGTCTTTATTACCATGATGACACTTTATGTAGGGCGTTACCAGTAATGCCAATCATTTATGTACTTTAAACCCCGCATAACTGAGGGTCAGAGGGGTCGGGCAGACACTATATAAGCCACCCCCTCCTCAGTTTAAAGGGTTCGCACCGCTGTAACTCATACGCACATAATTCAGTCGACCACCTCCGGGCTCCAAGACGTAGGGCTGTTACTTCCTCCGAGAAGGGCCTGAACTCGTAAATCCCTAGCGTATACAACTACTCCATAGCTAGGATCTTGCCTCTCCATACCTACCCCCATTCTACTATCAGACTTAGAACCACGACAGTTGGCGCCCACCTTGGGGCAGGTGTCTTAGCGACTTTTTGGAGAAGTTGCTATTTTCCCGATTGCCTTCATCATGGTTTCTGGCGGAGTTCTGGTCGAGGGCCATGAGATCCGTCTCGGTGCGCTCACTTTCATTGCCGACGACTCCGCTTGGCTCCAGGAGGCACCACTCGACATCGACGCGCTCCCCGTCCACGGTGTGACGCATTTTCGGGCGTGTGTCCGCGGCGTCCTGCTGCGGCAGCCGTCGACTCTGTACCGGTCGACTCCTGTGTCGTTCTCCCTTCCTGTTTCCCGCCAACGCAAGCGCTCTGGTCGGTCGAGGCTTCAGCGGTGGGTGAGACACGCAGTAGCTCGCCAATCGGCCACCACCCAAGTCGCGGCAATTGAGCCCGACGAATCTCTCTACGGCCTGTTCGATCTGTCGACTGGCTCCGTAGAGACTGCATCCGAGTGCGACAACAGTGATCCAGCGGCGGAGGTCCTGATGGTCAATGGGCCTCGTAGCCCTCCCGGCTTCCCCCGCATCGACGGGATGGACGATGGAGGCGACCCCGCTCAGACCCACGAGGAATATCAACCCGAGCCACTCACTTCTCAGCAAAGAGAAGATCTTCGCCGCTGGAACATGGATGCCCTGCATACTCCCATCGCAGGAGAAACTCCCGAGGCTCGTGCCTTGGAAGAGGCACGTTTGGCCAACTTGGCTGAACGCACTCGACTGGAGAACCTTCAGCAAGCACTCGACGAGCGTGCGCAGCAACGAGTACCCGACTCCAGTCGATGTCAGCTCTTTCCGCAACCAACTTAGGTATATCGAACCCCGATTCAGAATTTAGCAGCTGCAGCCCGTATAGCAGAGTCAATTCAGCCCTCCCAGTCGGAGGCTGACAGAGGCTTGATGCAGATCAGGGATTTGCTCCGAGCCGCAGGAGATCAGAATTCAGCTGTGTCACAGTCACGCAACAGGATTCACAGTCGATCCGTCGCTGCGAATACAGTTCAGTCGGCTCATAGCCCAAGATCGCCTCCGCGGCGCGAGGGACGTGAAGGTCGGCGGGACCAGTATGATGACCGATTTGATCGTGATGATAGGCGTCGAGTGCCCACTCCTCCCCCAAGGGGTGGGTCTTACGCCCATCGGCACCAAGATGACATGCGTCAGCTCAGTGTTGGGCGGAGAGTTCCGGTCGACCCTAGGGAACCAGGCTTTGACGCGAGATCCATCATCGTGCAAGGTTTGGTCGATCGGAACAGAGCTCATCGAGGTGGCCATGATAGAGATGCGCCCACTAGCAGCCGAGTCCACGTTTCAGGTCCAGAATGTTTTAACAGAGCCATCAGAGCCGCAGTGATACCCCCCAACTTCAGGTTGGCGACTGGGGTATGTAAGTTCACCGGTGAGTCCAAGCCTGAAACCTGGCTTGAAGACTACCGAGTGGCGGTACAGATTGGCGGCGGTAATGATGAGGTGGCCATGAAGCATTTACCACTCATGTTAGAGGGTTCGGCCAGGGCGTGGTTGAATCAGTTAGCTCCTAGCAGCATTTACACTTGGGAAGATCTTTCCCGAGTGTTCGTCAGGACGTTCGAGGGAACTTGCAAGCAACCGACCGGATTGACAGAGCTGCAAGTCTACGTGCAAAAGTAGAATGAAACACTAAGAGATTACATCCAGAGATGGATCACTTTGCATCATACCGTGGAAAATGTGTCTGACCATCAAGCAGTCTGTGCCTTCAAGGATGGTGTCAAGAACAGAGAGTTAAGTCTGAAGTTTGGTTGAACCGGGGATATGACCCTGAGTCGAATGATGGAGATTGCCACCAAATACGCTAACGATGAAGAAGAGGACAGACTCCGGAGTGGCAAGTATAAGCCGAGTCAGTCGGAAAAAGGAAACTCCAATCGGAAGCAGAAGCGGAAAGCCGAGCCGGCTGCTCCTGGAGAGGCTCTGGCCGTGACGCAGGGCAAATTCAAAGGGAAGCCCAAAGGATCTTGGAACCCCAAGAAGGTGAAGGATAAGGAAGGAAATGACGTGATGGATCTGCCGTGTCACATCCACACGAAGAAAGACGAAGAGGGTAACTTCATCTACCCGAAACATACCACTCGCCAGTGTCGGCTCTTAATCCAGCAGTTTCAAGGGAAACAGCCCAAGGACAAAGAAAAGGAGTCGGACAAGGCTAAGGACAAGGAGGACAGTGATGGAGGGTATCCTCATGTCAATTCCACCCTGATGATTTTTGCTGATGTGGAGAGCAAAAGTCGATTGAAAGTTATCAACCGTGAGGTAAATATGGTCTCCTCGGCGACACCAAGCTATCTGAGATGGTCTCAAACTCCCATTACGTTCGACTAGTCCGATCACCCGACTCACATAGCCACCCCTGGGAGGCAGGCTTTGGTGGTCGACCCAGTCGTCGAAGGCACTCGATTGACGAAGGTGCTGATGGATGGTGGAAGTGGGCTGAATATATTGTATGCGGAGACGCTAAAGGGAATGGGCATTCCGATGTCCAGACTCAGCTCCAGCAACATGAGTTTTCATGGAGTCATTCTTGGAAAGAAGGCTGAGTCACTCGGCCAAATAGCTCTAGATGTGGTGTTCGGCGACTCGAAGCATTTCCGCAAAGAGAAGCTGACATTTGAAGTCGTGGATTTCCAGAGCACTTACCACGCTATTTTGGGGAGACCAGTTTATGCACGGTTCATGGCTCGACATGTTATGTGTACCTCAAATTAAAGATGCCTGGCCCCAAAGGTGTGATCACTATCACTGGCAACCGGAAGAAGGCAGAAGAGTGTTTTCAGAAAGGCTCGAAGATTGCGGATGCCCAGATAACAGTGGTAGAGCTGGAAGGATACAAGAAAAATGCAGATCCGAGTGATTTGTTGTGGGCCAAGAAGCCCGCCACAGAGTCAGCGTTCCAGTCGTCTGGTGAGACGAAGCCCGTTCATATTCACCCGACTGACCCCAGCGCAGCTCCGACCCATATTTCCACAACACTCGACTCTAAATAGGAAGAAGCGCTCATCCAGTTCCTCCGTGAGAACTGGGACATCTTTGCATGGAAGCCTGCTGACATGCCGGGTGTTCCCAGGGGGCTGGCTGAGCATCTCCTTAGAGTCGACTCAAAAGCAAAACCTGTCAAAGAACATCTTTGACGGTCCGCCGTTCAGAAGAGAAAAGCCATTGGCGAGGAGGTGGCTCGACTCCTTGCAGCAGAGTTTATCCGAGAGATATACCACTCCGAGTGGCTCGCCAATGTCGTCATGGTCCCCAAGAAGGACAAGTCACTGCGCATGTGCATCGATTTCAAACATATCAATCGGGCCTGCCCAAAAGATCATTTTCCTCTCCCTCGCATCGACCAAATTGTCGACTCGACTGCGGGGTGCGAGAGATTGTCTTTTTTAGACGCCTATTCCGGGTACCATCAGATCCGTCTGTATGGACCCGACGAGATCAAGACAGCTTTCATCACTCCATTCGGCTGCTTCTGCTATGTCACCATGCCATTTGGTCTCAAGAATGCCGGAGCCACGTTCATGAGGATGATTCAAAAGTGTTTACTCACTCAAATCAGTCAGAATGTGGAAGCGTACATGGATGATATCGTGGTCAAGTCACGAAA